ACTTCTGCTCTATGATTCTCCCCAAGCCCTCGGCCGCTTCCACCGCCATTCGACAGTAACACCCTGAGTGCTCGATGATGACTACGTTGAGCGCGTCGCAGTCCAATATCCGAGCAAGCTTGTATTTGTTGAACAGCTCCTCACCCTCGGCAGGGTAACGGGTGAAATCGTCTTCGTAGTAGTCGTAACCATCCTCGATTTCCAGCCGGACCAGATCGCTGCAGTGAAAGTTGAGCTTGATAGTACGCAGACCCCTGCATTCGAAAGCAAGTTCTAGATCAGCGTTCACACCGAACTCTTCCTTGAAGCGGCTGAAGAACCTGAAGTCCAAGTGACGAACGAGGTCAAAGCGGCACGGCTCTGCGGCCAGAAACGCGCGTGCAAACTGGTTGTCGGCGTATGAGCAAATCATCATTTGTGAATTCTCGATGACGGTGGCGACCGTCTCGTCGAAGGTTCGTCGTGATGTATAGCAGAACTCGGGAAGAAACACGGGTCGAGCGGGGTTATTGCCCCTCCTGACTGCCTTGCGCACTTCCATCACGTTCGTATCGACATCGAGGGCAAGTTTCCAGATCTCGAGGCGGAGTTCTGTAGGCAATTCAAGGAATCCATGAAACTTCGACTTGATGGCAGGGGTTTCGTAGACGTCTGCGACTGCGTCGCTCTCCGGAATCCACGGCTCGCCTTTGATGTATCTGGGCACTGTATTTTGTAAGCATAGCTCGTGATTCCTTGCATCCCGCAACGACCTACTCTTCTTCGACCCGGGTAGCACGCCATGCTTCACTACCTCAGCCCAAGTCTGAAGATTCGAGTGCGAAGTACTGGAAGACGGGGTTGAAGTGATGGTTGAGCCATGAATATCGGGAAATATCGCCGTGTCTAGTTGGAATGTCGCTGCATCATGCGCGACGTTCATGCCAAATCGACTGCCGGCTACTGAGAAGGGAATGAGGACGACGGGCATGTTTGCGGTTTCCTATACTGTCAGGAAAGGTCTTCGTACTAGAAGAGATTTAACTTACAGTGCACAGAGAAATGAACGTGAGAGCCGGAACGGGTAGAAATCGTGAGACCAGGTCTATCGACGTCTGTTCAAATACGCGAAATGAAGGCTCTACGTGTACGGGAGGTAGTGAGTGGTAGATGAAGCAGCGGATAAGATTCCTGCCTCGCCCTTGTAGGAAAGTGTGCCCAGAATAATTTGCGATATTCCTCTTGGGAAAGCGGCATTGTGCGTTCGAATTGTATGAAATGCGGAAGGTGTGGTTGGCTCGCCGTCTGTGGGCCATTGCAGTACCACGGAATGGAGGTGATGGAACCAATCTGCATCTCAGCCTTTCACATATTCGCATCTTGATGTGACCTCTCCTTCTGCGCCTACGCAAGCAGGCAATTCAGAATTTATGGGCGTGCTCTTGCACCACCTTTCCATCTTCGATGACACAGATGTCGACGCCAGCAGTCACACGCAAGCTCTCCATATCGAACAAGTACTCTTCATCCTTCTTTACTACCTCCAAGTAAAAAGGATCTTCGTAAGCCTTCTCGAAATCTTCGTACTTCCGCACCCAGAAGTCCGCCATGCCGTCGTACGAAAGAGTAGGCATGCTTAGGCGTGCTTTGTGTCTTGATGTAGTGTGATACTTCGAATGATCAGTACTTTTAGATGAATTGCGCAGCATCAAGATAATAAGGGGCTGCACAAGTAGGGAGAGCTGATGGGGAAGCTCACTTGGACGTATTTGACGATACCGTGACGCTGCAGCCATGATGTGATGAGAGGGCCATGTTTGTTCGCCCAGTGGTCATTGAACTCATCTTCAGAAAGCTTAGCATTGCGGTTCGCAAAAACAGTGATGCGTATCAATTCTTCGGTCGACATGATTGCTGTTGCTTGAGTTGTCGCGAATGTGGCTGGCGTCCACGGGTGGCTGGGACGAGGATGCCGGGTCAATGACGCATCACTGCTTGCAGGAACCCTGATCGGCATCCATCCAAACCTACCGCATGCACGACTTCAATGTGCTATTCCATGACTGATTACCCCGGACCACTGATGCGATGCTCATTATCGTACCTGTCGCTGCGGACCACGTCGCCAGTTTACTTTTTGCTCATTACGCCCCGCCTTGACCCCGTAGAATGATAAGGATGGTGCTCCACCCCTCCACCTCTCCACTCAACTCTGCGATCAATCACCAATCGCTGGCACGACCTTAGCTTCCAGACAACACATGAACAAAAGGGCCTTTTCACATACGGCTACCGGTAGCGCCCGCCATGGGGCGTTCGGTTACCCGTAGCCCCTCATTTAAAGGAACGGCGATGTTCGGTCGAGGCCGCGGAAGCTATTATCCGACAGCCGCATAACAGAGTAGCGACATTAACTACCAGAGCACTTCAGCTTCTGGCAAGCCTTGAAAAAGACTTATCGCTTGCTGGAATACAATACGATCATTAAGTGTGGAGCTAACATGACATCCATCGACCAGCCGCTGAACGGCAAGATACTCCTCATTACAGGAGGTGCATCTGGTACTTAGAATACTATCGATGTCGGAAAACTGTATGTCTAACATGAACAGGAATCGGCTTCTGTGTGACAAAGCAAGCACACGATCTCGGCGCACGCATCCTTGTCGCAGACCTCAAAACAACACCCGACTTCGATACCTTTGCTGCCAACAAGTCGAACATTCTCTACGTGCAATCTGACGTGACGCGATGGGCCGACTTTGACAAACTTTTCGACGCGTGCGAAAAGCAATGGAACGACGTTCCCGATGCATACGCCATCTGCGCGGGACTGTTCGACCCACCGTTTTCCAACTTCTGGCAAGACCCCGAAGACCAAGGGTATAAGCAAGTGGAGGTTAACGTGAACCATCCAATCAAATTAACAAGATTGGCGATCAGGAAGAGTCTGGGGAAAGGCAAAAGGGCTAGTGTTTGTATCATCGTAAGTCATACCAACATATCAGGGTCGACTTGAAGGGCCGTCACGTAGTCAACGGTGGCACGTCTAACACCAGAATAGGCGTCCGTGGCCGGCATATCAGGCAACCTAGCAGCCCCGCTTTACTGTGCAACAAAACACGCTGTCGTGGGCTTCGTCAAGTCTCTCGGGGCGTCTGAGTCACTCACAGGCGTCAAGATTACTACTCTCTGTCCTGGTGCCGTGGCAACACCGTTGTTCGACGCTGCGAAACTCAAGCAATACTCCGTGACTACAGATAAAGCACTGACGCCAGACGCATGCGCGACGTCTTTGTTGGATCTGCTACAGAAGAAAGAGTACCCGTGTGGTAGTGTACTGGAAATTACTCTTGGGGGGACGAGGCTTATCCCGGAGTGGGGTGTGGAGCCACCGAAAGGCTCAGGTTCGGGACAAGACCTGGATGAGCAGTTCATGACGAACATGCTCCAGCCTATCAACGACAAGTTGAATGCAGAGAAGGCGAAGGCATGAGGACATGTAGTGTAAGGGGTGCGTGTGTATTATGTGTGGTATTGAAATCTCGCTACCAGATCACACTGAACAACGAAAAGTCAAAATAGGTCTGCAGCATACCTCAACATGAAACCATGCAAATTAGATGACCTAAAGCCAACGTAGGCTCCAGGCTAATTAGGATTTCGCAGTACACTCTCAGTATACTTCCCACACCCCTGACACCCCCGGCTTCCAATAGCCTCAAACCCCTAGCAACCCCACATACCCTCCTTGCAGTCCCCCAAATCCCTCTTCTGAACCACCACCTTCTCTGCCTTTGTCTCTTCAAACAGTTTGCCGTGAGTGTGCCTCCATTTGTCGGGGATGACAACTTCGTCGTCGGCATCGTTGTCGTTCGCCCGCGCGACAACAAAGTCGCTGGTGGTGATGAGGGGGAGAGTCCCCATGCCGCTTGGGATGTATGGGCGGGGGCTGGGGAACATGGGGAGACTGAGCCCCAGGGTGATGAAGAGGGAGATGATGATGGTGTTGAAATACATCTTGTTGGTTGTGGTGGGGAGGTTTTTGGTTGGTGTGTTGTTTGGTTTTGGGTTGGTAGTAGTGGATGGTTTGTGGTATCCTTGGAATGTTTTGGCTTTGGATGTAAGATGTTTGTGTGATGGTAAGAAAGCTAAGAGTGATAGCAGAAGCAGGGCGTTATATACTAATGGGCAAATGCGTAAATTCTGTGGGATTTCAGTACCGTGGTTCGGATGTGGTTGGAGTTCCGACTCCACCATGCCCTTCAAACATGGCTCAGTGATTACTCGAGCCATACAAAGCGTTTCTGATCTGTATCACGCAGGGACTAACCAAAGTGTTGAGGTAGCCGGGTGAACTTCGGCTGGTTACCGGGGTGCACAAACTTATGTTGCCGTGGGGTAGTCGAGCATCTTCCGATATGCAATCGCTTTTGCAGCATTTACAGTTTTGCGCTAACCCTACATGTCTACCCGAAGTTCGCGGGAAACACTCCTTCAGTGCCTGCCTTCGGTGCCTTCCTTTGATCAGCGCAGCCCCTGCGCACCCCATCCTACCCTGCATTCTTAGCCCGGCTTTCTTCTCCGCATACTGCTTACGCAGCAGCTGCCAATCTGAACACATGATATCATATCGCTAAGTTCGCTCACAATGGGTCTTACCCTTTCCAAAGTCAAGCAACGTAACTATTAGAGAGCATCGAGATGTACGTTACCGGCTCTCGCGTCTGGATCACGAACACTGTATCTAGAAACTGACACCATCTGAGGGATGCGCTGCAGAATATATAGGTACCAGTCTCACATGATTGCGATGTTCTCAGTCTTGTATGCGGCAAGCGCAGCACATTTTTTGATTACATTGGTCGTAGCTATCACCGCTGTCTAGCATAACGAAACTTGTCTTTGCAAACTACGTGGCTGGAATGTATGACTGCGCTTTGTTGTTGGAGACCCAGGGAGATACCGATGTGTTGTGGTCTGCGCTCGCGCCTCACCTTCACTTTCACCTTCACGTCGGAATGATCTACGTAAGCGAGACCAGAAAAGTGAGTCCGCTCCGGTAGCTCACCACCTGCAAATCGAGCGTCTTGCTTGTGCACTCAACACATCTCGAACCACAGCGCCCAGCGCCGCGATACGCGAAGATGGCAGAGAATCCGCGCCTTCAGGCCATGGATGCGGTTCAAAGGCAAGTTCCTCAAGCTCATACGTAAAGCCTAGAGCTGACCACTGCCACAGCTGTTTCACTTCCGGCGAATACACAGACCTTACCATCAAATGCGGAGCCGACATCCACAGAGTTCACAAGATCATCGTGTGCAAGCAAGTAGCCTTCTTCACTGGAGCTCTCAAATTCGGTGGCAAGGTGTGCATGGCTGTTTCCCGAGGTCTGGAAAGAACTGGAACTGACGACGGACAGGAAGCGCAGACAGATGTCATTGATCTCCCCGAGGACGAACCGAACGTAATCGCCTCTCTCATCGAATATCTTTACACGGGTAAGTACAAGGACGACTCCTCTACAACCCTGAGGAATGAGCATGCGAGCCCGATCACGCCCTCCAACATCCAAATATGGCGGACTGAGACCTGGGATGCCACGGGAGAGCCATATACGTATGATTTCCCGCATACTTGCACAGGGAGATGTAAGAAGTGGAGATTGTGTCCCCATCATTTCTGCGCCAGCGATACTTGCAGTTTGGCTTGCAAAGCCTTCGTCTGCGACGAATGCTGCTTAGTCGGGCGTCTTGATGGGCCACCCCAGCTTCTCAAACACTCGATGATGTATGCGATCGCTGACAAGTACGACGTCACTGGCCTCAAAGAGCTAGCAGTCAAGTACTTTGAGGTCGCTTGCCAGAGGTTTTGGGACGTGGAGTCTTTCTCCGTCGCCGTCGACCACGTCTTTTCTTCGACCCTTCCCGAGGACACCGGCTTGAGGTCGATAATTATCGATACCGTGTCTAACAACATGGTCCTTATGCACAAGACGGAAATACGGGCTATGGTGGCAGCTCATAGCGATCTGGCTGTGGGCGTTCTGATGACGAAGGTGGACTAGCCATCGAAGATGAAGAGGGTCATGACCGGCGACACCACCGGCAAGGCCGGCGCGAATGAGGAAGAAGCTGATGAAGGCAAGGGTGCTGGAGACGAAGAAATTGGTGCTCTCTGAACACGCTACGAAGATGATACACGGCCGGCTCTCCGGCGTCGTTACCAAGATCGTCCGCATGATGAACAGAAGCTCAAGCAAGCGTTCAATGTTCAATACATGATGGAACCAACGTCCATCTCTTCCAACGCCTAAACACCGTTACATATAGCATTACTGCGTGATAGCCCTTAGTCCTTGCAGTGTTAACCCAAACATAACACCCCTCGCAACCCTAGGTTCCTGCAAACAATCAAACACCTTACCCAACGCCTCTCCACTAGCAGCCTGACCCATGACACTCGTAAGCGCTTGCGGCATACCATTCTCGACAAGCAACTTCCTTGCTTTGACTCTCAACTTCTCTTTCTCTTCATCGCTCATCTCTTTTGGCCATCCTTTGAGCTCTTCCTCGGTTGGCAAACCGTTCTCCCGGATCTTTCTGATGTGATAGGCTAGGCCGGCGTCGGACGCGTTCCCGTCGAGAACGGTGGTCTGGAGTAGCGAGGTGATGGAGGAGAGTTGTGGGTTTCCTGGGCGTAAGAGGAAGGATTTCGCGGCGTTGAGGAGGGTGCGACGGAGGGTCCAGGCGGACGAGAGGGTGTAGAGTTCGTTTATGACGGCGAAGAAGAGCTCAATGAGAACAGTGGTTTCGGGCTCGGATAGTGGCGTGTGGGTGGTTGCTGCGCGTGGCCTTGACAAGGGTTTGGCCGGAGATGAGGTTAGCGATGTGGCTGAGGGTCGACGGGGTAGCGAGGGCACGGAATCTGTTGATGGCCGCGAAGGTTTCTGAGGTGGTGTTGGTTCTGGTTGATTGCGCATGGTGCTGTAGTCGTCAGAGATCTCGCTAGGCATTGGCGGCAGATTGATTAGTTGATCCCCTCCCATCATGGGGCTGAGATCTTCGATCTTCTCGCGCATGCTTGGTGCGCGACTGTTGCTTCGTGAGCCGTATCTGGAGGATCTCCCCGAACGCTTGCCGTCTCCATCAGGGTTGTACGATGGCCGACGTTCCATGGGCGCCTCCCGTCCTGGCTGTTGGTCGATCACAGGTGAGTGAGGATCGCGCACAGAGTCCATTGATGTACGTTTGGTCACTAGAGACAACGTGCTCGGCGATCGAATGTGCGTGGGTAGTTCAGAGACCGTCGACTCGGCTCTACTTTGTCGTGTTTGGATAGGCGCCGTGTTGGTCGATGTACGGCTTAGAGGACTTCCGGATGCGTTCGGAGTGGCGGCGTTGCTGATCGATTCGCGATTCTTCTTTCCTCCCAGTGGTGATGCTACGCTGCCTAGTACGCCTGTAACTCCACCGAAAAGAGCTTTGCCACCGCCAGCAACTTCCTTGGGTGCTTTTGAAAGTACGCCCATCATCCCTTTACCCACTGAGTCGAAGGTCTGGCCAGCCCATCCAATCCCTGGAAAGCCACCACCAGGCGTCTTTCCGGAACCCAATTCTTTGTCTAAGAAGCGCTTCATCCCTTCACTTTCAGCAAGTGGTTGGTACTTGACAGCATCGTTGAGGTAGCGCTCCAGCTCTCCACGCAAAGACGCCTTGGTGTGACCTTTCCACGGTGGCAGTGTAGCATGTGCTTCGTTGAAGCCAGAAGTTCCGGTGATAGCTGCTATCCGACGTATGACTTCGTGTAATGTCTCGAACTCGGCGTACTTGCGTGCTGTCATCCACCCGGTGTGATGGTTGGACTTTGGCTCGATCTGAATCAGATACTCTGCTGTGGGCTTGGCCTTGATAGTGCCCTTTTCTCCAGGCATGCTGTCATCAAAGATGGACATTGTGCTGTTGTGCAAGGTTAACGGTGGTGGTCGTTCCGTGGGTGCGTTGTCCATAAGCGCAGTAGGCGGTTGGGGCATTACAAGCTGATCGAAGCTTGTGAAAGCCTTCTTGACCTCCTGAGCTGGTGGGTCTTCCGAACTCCTTGGCGGTGAAGCTGGTGTTGTCTCTGAGAACGACCGGCCGGAGAGCCCTGAAATGGCTAAGTCTGAGTGCTCAACGTCGCCGTGCGCCTCGCCCTCGGAAGACGAGGGAGTAACTATGCCCTGGGTGGTGCTCTCGGACTGGTCGTCGTTCAGGGTCGATGTAGACGCGCTTTGTTTTTGTTGCTCCTTCAGTCGCTTTGCGTCTTCCTCGGCAATCATCTGGCTCAGGAGCTGCGCTTCTCGCATCGCATCGTCCATAGCTTCTTGCGCCTTGCTCATAACACGCTTGTGCTCCCTCTTTTCAGCGGGGGTTGCCGTTCCTGCACCAGCTAACTCGCTCTCCGCGTTCTCCTTGACGCCTTGTAATTGTTCAGACGAGCCCTCGACGCCTGCGTCAATAGCATTGAGAAGCTCGGGCTCGCCCTCCTCTAGAAGATATACAATCCACCCGTTGATCCACTCTGGCTTGGAGCAGCTCACGACGATCATCTCAAGTATAAGTTTCGCGAGGATTTGGTGCAGGAAAAGCCGTGCTGGCACGCAGTTGTCTAGGGTAGGTGCCGGTCAGCGTACGCGCATGAATTGTATATGAGAGTTACTCACATGTTTTCGGCTCCAGATAGTTCTGTAGGATATCCTCGGCAGCCACACTGAACTGCTTCATCTGGTAGTCTGGGTCGAGGATGTTCGCTAGGGTGCTATCCCGCTTCATTTTGAGGTATATATCGACCGCTTCGGTTGGCACATCACCGGGGGACGCTTGGATTGCGGCAGCGATCTCTTGCAGCAGTATGATCATGAAGGAGGATGAGCGCGTCACAAAGTCAAGGAAATTGTCGGCTGGTCGCTTGCGGGAGAGGTGTGCAGATATGGAAAGCACGAAGGCGGTCAGGGTCTGGCGGCACGAGTTCGGGAAAGTGTCTTCGGAAGGCAGTAGGGGTGAGTACCACCACCTGCGTTGCATTAGAACAGTATCTAGGCACTGCGCGGAGGACATACTTGACATAGTCACGAATGACTGCATCCGTCAACTCCGTCAGCGCAGCGGCAGTCTCGGGCTTGAAGTCTGAGTAGTCGAGCGTCTTGCCGGAGTACAGCTGCACATTGAAATCGTAGCCGTCGTCTCCGGACTTGCCCGTGTCTGGTGTCTTGTCCTTCCGCCAGTCGAGGACACGCTGCGCTATGTCGACGGCCAGCTCTCGCTTCCGCGCGTCGGCGCTCTTTCCCTGTGTTTCCTTGTTGTCGCCATGGTGCCCCTCCCACGTCGCGTGGAGGACGACGCCGCCTACAACGCCTATGAGGACCAGCCCGACGCGGCCGAGAATGAGATATGTGCCCGCGCCGAGGCCCGCGAGACAGGCGCCGAGCGTCTCATTGCTCGCCGTCGCCAAGAAGTGTAAGGTGCGATCAGTGAGGGCCTTGAGGTCGAATGGAGGCGCGCCTGCCTCTGCCTTTGGGGCCTCCGGCGTGACGGCGGTGCTATCGCCGAGCGAGTCATGTTCGTGATCGAGTGCTGAGGGGGGCGGGCTCGGGGGTGGTGCTATGGGGTCGCTCATGGTGGCTGTATGTAGGCGAACATTGGGGTCTGCAGTACGTGAGGAAGTCGTGGCCTGCAGTGAAGCATGGTCCGGTGCGACAGACTGGCTATGTGGCGTCCCCGGCCGCTGACACTGGCGTACTGGCCGTTTCACAGCTGCCGCTTGTTGATCGCATGGCGGCCGCTGAATAGTATCGCCGACCCCGCCGCGCGTTGCATCGCTATTTTCAACCTGCCCCGTCATTCTGATCTTCACACTTCCACGCGTCACGTCTCCCGCATCCGCACCAGCCATGTCCAGCGACGCAGCCAACGACCCCGAGATCCTCGCTCATGTCCAGCAGTTCTGGGAGGGCCGCAAGCCTAGCAGTCCTATTTACCAGTTCCTGCTTGACGATATCAAGCTGACCTATGCCTCCAAAGGCGTCGTGCGCGCCCAGCTGCCGCTTACCAAGAACCACGTGAACACGCACGGAAGCATCCATGGCTCCGTCTCCGCGACACTGATAGACTGGGTTGGTGGCATCGCTATCGCAGCTTGGGATAACCGGAGCAAGGCAGGAGTGTCGACAGACATTCACATCTCGTACTTGAGCGGGGCTAAAGATGGTGACACCATTGAAATTGAGGGCAGGGCAGGAAAGGTTGGCGGAACCCTCGCCTTCACCACAGCGACCATCTGGAAGCTTGTTGATGGCAAGCCAGGTCCAATTGTAGCCACTGGATCACACACGAAGTTTATAAAGATATGAACCTTCATATGACACGCCATCTTCTTTGAGATCTCGTCCTGCGCTCCATGGTCGATCGAGCTCACTCGGATCGCGAAGATTGACTGGCCCTCTCGCTACCATCTCGCGCCTAGCTTTACAGCGACGACAGCATGGGTATGTGGGAGGGTCTTACATACTGTAGATGATCTAATATCATGAGTATCGAATCTGTTCGACAGGAGGCTTTTCTGCTATCCCAATATTGAGTTTCAACCTTCGGACATTTTCTGTTACTTTGCCGAGGAATTCTCCAGAATCTAAATTTGCTGGAATAAGACCAATGCCACAAGCTCCCCTGAACGAGTTCAAGATTTCAACACCAGATATCGATATCGCGAGAGAGGGACACGCGTCGCGTATATTGGCGCCACACTCACGAGCCACACTCGGCCCGTGCCAGCCAATCATAGCACGCTTGAGCCACACATTCAACGCGCCAAGCCTCGCGGTTTCCCAGTCAAGCCACAGACTATGCCACAAACACTAGCAAGAGGGGCTGCAATCTGCGGAGTGCAGCGACCCAAGGATCATGTGTCTTGAAATCAAGTTCATGGCGTATGTCATATGGTAGACGGGCACTAGCTCTGACGTCGATGGACCCGTAGACGAAGGCATACATATGGGAGAATGGACTCCTTATATCTATAAGGACTATACAGTCAGCGTAGTACATGCGACGACACACCACTATTCTAATCTGCCACCTACTCAAGACCAGCTTAACTTCGAACGTCTACTCTATCTTGATTAGTCACATCACACTGAGGACACGCAGTCATAACTGGACATCGACACCTCCAACAGGAAGCTTTCCATCAATCGATCTCGAACCTGTACCGTCACGACCTTCCTCTAATACCCCTACACTCACCAACAAACACCACACCATGGGCTGCGCCCCTTCCCGCCCCCGCCGCTTCGACGGCAGAGGAACATCCTATGTCGACCATCCCCCCAGCAGACACAGCACCGGCGGCATGGGAACAAAATACGGTCGACGGAGCGGCAGTGTGGCTGGTCCTGGTACAATCGGAACAAGTATGGGACAGAGCGGCAGACACGGTGGCATGAGCACTGGGACTAGCATGGGTCGTTCAAGTCGCACGAGTGGAGGCATGAGCAGCGGCATGGGTATGGGTATGGGTCGTTCGAGCCGGTCGGGGGGAGGTCTCGGAGGAATGGTGTCGGGGTTTGGGAGGAGCCGGAGATGCTAGTTAGTCCGGAGTGGCAGACTGTTTTGGCGGGGAAGCAGACGAAGCGGTTGGGAGGGGAGAGCAGGAGGGTTGTGGAGTGATTGGGTATTGTACTGGGTGTTTTAGGTATTTCTGCAGCACCAATGTTCATCATGTTTCCATTTCTGATCGCTATCAAGCTATCTAGGTATACACTAGACCCCGTGCCGCGTGTATTCAGCCATCTTTGGCTACAGCTCGCCGCTGTCACCACGTAACACCATCTACATGGCGGTACCGAATTTGACCCTAGCCCTCTGCTGCACGCCGCCCATCGGAGGCCAAGCCTGAACGTCGAACCCATCCTCCACTAGACTATCAACGAGATCACGACCAAAGCCCGTCAAGTCCAACATCAGCGTCTGGAAGAACTTCAAGCGCATGAGTTGATTGATATGAGGTTTCAGCAGCTCGAGAGCAGCTTGGCGCAACATATCGTTCCCATCTGTAGTGTTGCGCCAGACGAGAACCAGAGAATCAAGGAAGGAGTTGAGAACCGACGAGACAGGGTCGGCATCGATGTGCTTGTGATCAAACTCGGGATTGTGGGAGAAGTCGGTTGGGTCTTCGCCAGAGGGCAGTCCCATACTGAGGACCATTCCGACGATGTTGATGTACTCTCCGATAGCGTGGTCGCACAGCTTGGCGACGTCGTACTTGTTTCCGACAACGTACGCGTGGACGTGGAGGTCCAGAAGGGTGATGTTCTCATACTCGTGTCGCATATTGGGGTTGAAGATGTAGATGCCGTCTTGAATGTACTGGATCATGGCTGCGATGGCGTAGGGGAAGTCGTCGCGGACGCGGATGCAACGTGTTTGACCTTCCTTCGGCGTTGTTAGCATTCTCGAATATGCTGAGTGCGAAATGAATACTCACAATGGATGGGCCGTCTAGCATCGGTGCGAAGAAGCGAGACTCTGTACACAAGAGGTACTTGTTGAGCTTCATGACTTGCTTGCCCTTGTCGAAAGAGATCATGACGTCGTCCTTCTGGATCTCGGAGAAACAGCTTCGTTGTGTTAGTATTGTTTGTTCTCACATATTTTGTATATGGTGTTTGCTTACTATTGAAGATCGGTCGACTGCATGGTGAAGACACTAGTACGAGCAGCATTGATATCGACAGCGGACTGCGACGTCAGATCTGGCCGATACCTGCGAGGTGGGTCTAGCAGTGAAAGAGTCTGGAAGTGAAGCGCACTCGGAGTCAACGGACCCACGCCTCCGACTGGGTCCTCGAAGACGATGGGGCCGGGCTCGTTGGAATAAGCACCCAATACCTGATCCAGTGGTGAACTCGAGCCTTGATCTATATCCATGTGGGGGGTGATGTAGGTTTGTTCAAAGCCATTACCGGCGACAGGCAGTTCCGATAGACCACGAAGAGATGAGGTGCGTGGAGGAAGCTGAAGACGATGTCGGTAGCCATCGAAGGGCTTGGCAAACTTGTCCTGGGCGGGCAGATACAGTGTCTCGTTCTCTTTGTCGGAACCGAACGAGAATGTAGGCGCGTAGAAGATTTGTGGTGTCGAAGCAGGAGACGAGGCGACGACACTGCGGAGGGCCTTGCGATGCGGATGACTCGAGAGATTTGAGGCACCTTGGAAAGCATTGCCGAAGGCACGTTTGCGATCTTGCTGGTTCATGTCGACGTGCTGTTAATGTTGACTGCCGTTAAATCGAGTCGCCTGTAGAGGATAGGTAGGATGGAGATCTTCTCCGAAGAGATTTTCGGTATTTATACACCCATGGGAAGTGGAGTGAGTGAGAAACGAGGTGACCGCGTCGTCGTGGAGGAGAAATTTGGTAGTAATCACCCCGGTTCGGTGGTGAACGTGAGCGTTTGTCGAGTCCTTATACTCTATTGTTGTGCCAGTGAATCGAGGACAGTGGGTGTATCTCCGAGTGAGAAGTGAAAAGTGTAGGTCCAACGCAATATCGGAACTAGTCAACACTGGTAGCGCGCTTGCCTAGCTGTCGAGAGCGGGACACTAGGTCAGCTGCTTTCACTGCCACTAAGACGATAGCTACCGGTCGTGCACTATTTCCAGCGTGTTGCCATCTCGTCGAACAGGTCCGCTCTGAAGTCCGGTAGCTCATCCATTGACTCGTATACAAGCGCCATGGTCCTGCCCGTACCATGTATGAAAGCTTGCACATGGTCAGCGCAGAGCTTAATCGCCACGCTCTTGAGACTCTCTGCATTGGCCGTTCGCTCAGGTGCGTAGATAGCGCGGATTGCATGCAGTAACTGCTCTTCCTGGCCATCGACTACCAAAACAATTGCCGCGAGGTCCTCGAATTTCTGGAGTGCGAGTGCTTTCAGGCCGGCTATCCCGTATCGCTCTGCAAGCATATATACGTCAACATGAGAGCGCAGAGTGACCTCCTCGGGTACGTCAAGGTCCGAGCCAGCTAGTTGATCCGTGTAATCCAGTTGGTAACAGTACTGCATCATAGCGGCGACGGCTGCTGGGTTGTCAGCGCTAAGATCAATGATGCCTTTCGGTGATTTCTGTTTGTGTCAACGCGATCGAGACTAGTGAATTGACTGAACATACTGGCGACATGACAACTGCGCAGACTTTCGAAAACCATCGCGAATGATAGCACATGATTGACCTATCGACGTGGTAGACATCCTGCTTAGATCGCACCACTAGATCAGAGCACTGCCAATCCGCAGCAGGTGGTGAAGTTGAGGTAGCAACGGCCATAGGTGAAGATGGAGTAGGCGTTACGGGAGATGAAGTGGGCAATGCTTCGGCTTGCTTTGGGGTAACCTCTTGGGGCTTGTTCCTCTGTAAGAAAAGTCGGGCTATTGAGCTGTTCGAAATGGTCTTGCGATGCTTAGGCCGGCGATTTTGGTTGTTGATTGAAGGAGTGGAAGACGCTGCAGTCGAAACGGAGGCGTTGGAACTCGTCGAGGACGTTCGATGAAGACCGCCAAAGGATGCGTCGGAAGAAGCTATACTAAGTCTTTGCGAAAGCTCATTGCGAACTACGCTGCCTCGCTTGGAGCCATATATAGCAGAAGGATCCAGGCTAAACAAGTAAGCAATTGCGACATTGAACGTCAACATAAACACTCACACATGGCTACTAACGATGACAGGCGTTACAAACATCTCGGTAGTATTTGACAGTTGCAAGGATACCACGTGAAAGCTCGCGCTGCAGGTATCTCTTGAGGCTTACTTGGACTGTGCGGTTATTGCGGTAATGTAAGAGGTCGCAGATGAGACCACGTCCTTGCCGCACCGCTGCTGTATATACGCATTTGCAACACCGCCCTCTGGGCGCTCAGAACTCAAACAACTCATGACCACATGGACAGAAGGGTAAAGCGCAGGAAGAAAATCACCTAGCCTCCGGCACTGATGGGTGCAAAAGAAGCGTTCTGATATGAAACTCGTCAACTGCACCAATGGAAGTTGGGAGATATATTAGCCGTAGCCCCAGATGGACCAGGATGATGAGGCTTATCGATAGTGTTTAATACCGGAGGTGCATACTCGTGGAACGAGAACAGCCGAGCGCTGGAGAACTGTGGGGTAGCGGCATGGCATTCTCCAAAGAAGTCAGCAGACTGTAGCTGAAACGGGTGTTCTTCTTTATTTCGCATGGCACCTAGCCCAAAAAGACAGGTGCGCGGGAGTTTTTCTCATACGGAATTGTCCATCGAACGACGAAGGACCGACCGCGAAGGTTTTGACAAGAACTTTGCTCGATACTGCGACAAGGTGAGATCATTGTGAAGTTAAAGGATATGAAAGGACTAGGAAGCGTTTACGTCACTGTAGTTTTGTCGGATGCGTTCGCACAACACTCTGAGTAGGTTCGGGTGTCAGCGTCTGTCGCGCGCTGCGATGCGGATCTGTGGGCGCATTGTGCCCATGTGTGGCAGATCGCCCCGGTGACCGCTTCCGTCCGCAAATGAGCCTCATCTGGGCAGTGACCATAGTGGCGACTCGATAACGAACACCACCTCGCCTCGTCAGAAATACACGTGCATTTCGAAATACACGTTAAGGTTCCGCATTTTCGATTGCCGATATTCCCCAGTATTGCCATGGGAAACGCGGCCCACGTGCACGGGTTTTGGTGTCAGTGATGTCATTCCGGGAGAAAAGGGCCGAACAGCAACAGGAAATTCCAATTGGCTCCACACGCTCTTTCGACTCCACAGCGCGTCACAGTTCGCGCGCTTTGTTACAGATACCTTCCCATTGGTAATGGCTTGCGTCTGGAAGCCGCTTACATCTACATCTGCAGATCGTGAAGAGATAGAACGAGGCACATCATAGCAGTGAGATGGGCCAATCACTATCAAGGCATTGTCACCGCCCTCGAGGTCGCCACCACCCTTGACGTCGCACTTCTCCCGATTTGCTATCAAGCCACGGGAGTTCTAACCTAACCCGCACCGGTTGACATGTAGGCCTAGATTGACACCCTCTAAGCGTCATGGAGCGTACTACGCCTAGCTAGTCCGATGATGATGCGTTTTCAACATGGGATTTATGCGAAGCGGCTGGAGGCGTTATCAGTATCCCATATAAGAAGATTCTTCGGCGCCTCTGACGAAAGCTTAATTACACAAACATCTCTCTTCACATATCGATACCCAAGAAATCGTAATCATGGCTCCAAGCGCAACCAACGACAACCAGAATGGCAGCACTCAGCATGCTCCCACTGGCTCAAAGAATGGCGACCAGTTTCGCAGCTATGCCGACGACCGCAACGCCTCATCGGAGGATGTCATCTACACCACCTCTAACGGTGTCCCATACCCTCACCCATACGAAAGCCAAAGAGTAGGCGAGAACGGTCCTCTGCTGCTCCAAGACCACCACCTCGTCGACCTTCTATCACACTTCGACCGTGAGCGTATCCCAGAGCGAGTTGTTCACGCCAAGGGCGCCGGTGCCCATGGTACCTACACAACCACAGAGTCGCTTGAGGACCTGTGCATGGCAGACATCTTCAAGCAAGGAAAGTCTTGCCCTGTCACCGTTCGATTCTCAACGGTTGGTGGCGAGTCTGGCTCGCACGACTGCGCCCGTGACCCTAGGGGTTTCAGTGTCAAGTTCCGCACCGACGAAGGCAACTGGGATGTAGTTGCGAATAACACTCCTGTCTTCTTCATTAGGGATCCCGCCAAGTTCCCTCACTTCATCGTAAGTTCCTCCGTGATAGTCAGGCATAAAACACACGCTAAGACTCAGGACAGCATACTCAAAAACGCGATCCCGCAACCCATCTTACACATGCCGATGATGCGACAGCCTTCTGGGATTTTGCTTCTCAAAACCCGGAGTCCGCCCATCAGTTCATGATCCTCTTCGGTGACCGAGGTATTCCCGATGGCTACCGCAAGATGCATGGATACCACGGTCACACCCACAAGCTTCAGAACAAGAACGGTGACTGGGTATACTGCCAGGTAAGATCTGAATGTACGAAGTGCATGTCAGACACATACTGACTTCGTCCGCAGTTGCACTTCAAGAGCAAGCAGGGCACTGCTTTCATTACACAAGAAGACTCCTTCAACTACGGCCCTGACTACTCGACCAAGGATCTTTACCAGTCCATCGAGAAGGGTGACTTCCCTGGCTGGGACGTCATGTTCCAGACCATGACCGCGAATGAGGCTGAGGAGGTCTGGGAGAAGCAGAAGATTAACGTGTTCGACATGACACACGTCTGGCCTCAAAGCCAGTTCCCGCTCCGCAAGGTTGGCGAGTTCTTCTTGAACGAGAACGTGCAGAACTACTTCGCCGAGGTTGAGCAAGTCGCGTTCAACCCCGCACACTTGGTACCAGGTATCGAGCCCAGTGCGGATCCCCTCCTACAGTCCCGCCTGTTCTCCTACCCCGACACCCACCGCCACCGCATCGGTGCCAACTACCAACAACTGCCGGTCAACTCCCCACGTGTTGCATACCGCATGGGTAACTTTCAGCGAGATGGTAACATGGCATTCTACAACCAGGGATCGAGGCCCAACTATCTCAGCAGCATTCAGCCCATCAGCTTCAAGGAGCGTACTGTCGACCTCGACAAGCTCCACGGCAACTTCACCGGCGAAGCGATCACCTTCTTGTCTGAGATTCGTCCAGAGGACTTCAACGCACCACGCACGTTGTGGGAGAAGGTTTTCGATGATGCTGCCAAGGACCGCTGGGTCAACAACATCTCTGGCCACATGTCGACTGTGTCCAACAAGGAGATCATCAAGCGCCAGATCGCCATCTTCAGGGAAGTGTCTGAGGACATCGCTTCGCGCCTGGAGAAGGCGACTGGTGTCCAGGGCTACCCCGGTATCGCCAACCTGCGATTCAACGGAACACACAATGGCATGGCCAAGTCCAAGGACAACAAGGTTGCCAACGGTATGACTGGCATCAGCGCGAAGTACGAGGAGAAGAACAAGACCAACGGTGCACCTGTTCCAGGTACACACAAGGAGATTATTGAGGGCAAGGCTTAAGGCTTTCTTTGGATAGAACGATTTTTGTATATTTAGCGAATGAAGTTTAATACCCTTTCACGGTTGTTGATGTGTTGTTCCTGAGCTTGACTGATCCGCTCCTCTTGTGTTCTCAACGCATAGAGTGAGAATGCTGAAGAGGCCTGG